AAAACCCCAAAACCCCAAAACCCCAAAACCCCATGTTACTTGATAATCTTAAAATAAAGGATAAGATTAAATAAAGTTTAATGGAATATTTATAAGATCCACTTGGAGATCGTATTGTCAAGTCAGTGCCTCTTCCACCCTAAAGACCTTTAGGACTTGAAAAAGGATATAGATTCTCAGATGAATTGAAAAATTTCGTACCAGATTTTGAAGCTATAAAGCAGACACTGGAAACTGAAGGAAGACTTGATAAGCAACTGCTAATGAAGATGATTGGAGATGTCACTTTAGTTTTAAGTAAGATAATGACTTTGATAGTTTAGAGAAGGAGCCAAATCTCATCAGAATAGTAGGAAATGTTACTATAGTTGGAGATATACATGGATAGTTATATGACTTACTCCATGTCTATAAGAAAATTAAGAAGCCGGCAAAGTCCCATGTCCTATTTTTAGGTGATTATGTCGATAGAGGCATTTACTGTGTGGAGGTTTTAACTTTTCTCTTTGCTTTTAAGGTAAAAAAATATTTGATCATTATTTTACCAGCTGAATAACCCAGACTAAGTAATAATGCTGAGAGGAAATCATGAGTGCAGAACAATGACAGAGTTCTTCACATTCAGAGATGAGTGCTTGAGGAAGTATGATATTGAAGTGTATGATGCCTTTAACGAGGCTTTTGATTAATTACCAGTTGCAGCTATTGTCAACAATGATTATTTCTGTATGCATGGCGGTATTTCTCCACATCTAAATTAGGTAAACATTTATAATTCTAATAAAAATAAATATAGATAGATGAAATAAACAACTTAGACAGAGTGGTAGAACCCCCTGCTGATGGGATTTTATGTGACCTACTATGGTCTGACCCGATTGACGATATCTATGCAAATACTACAGAATTTAAAGACAACAAGGAAAGAGAGTGCTCTTATTATTTTGGAAATAATCCAGTAAAAGAGCTTCTTAGAGATAAGGGTTTAGTCTCAGTTATTAGAGCTCATTAAGTGCAGCAGGATGGGTATAAGATGCATAGATGGAATGGAATGTCGAATTTCCCGTCAGTAATAACAGTCTTTAGTGCTCCAAACTACTGCGGTACTTATAGAAACTAGGGTGCAGTTCTTGTCGTTAAAGATGGTAAAATGCAGATCAAACAGTATTAAGCAACAGAGCCTCCTTATCACTTGCCTGGAGATATCGATGTACTATCCTGGAGTATGCCATTCCTAGCTGAAAAAGTAGTTAGCATGCTCTTTTATATAGTTGCTAGCAATCCTGAATATACTCCTTCAGCCCACGAAATAGAAAACATCGATTTTTCTAAGCTAGCTTTAAAAGGTTCAGATAGTAAGTGTTTATGAATGTAATAAATTATAGAGAACGAAAAGCATGAAATACTCAGGACGAAGGTCATGTCAATTGGAAGGATGGCAAAGATATATAAGTCTTTGAAGGAAAATAGTGAGATATTGATTGAGATAAAGGAAATGTCTACAGACGGTAAGATACCTAGAGGCCTGTTATTATAAGGAAAGGCAGCTATGAAAGATACGTTTAAGGAATTCCTGCTGGCTAGAGTGCTTGATAGTCATAATGAAAAGAGACCAAATAGGCTGTCTGTGAGTGACAATCTCTCAAATCAGACTTTAACAAATAAAAGCAATGATTCCTCGCTTTTGATTTGATTATTTATCTCAGAGATCAGATACCGATATTTTTATAGAAGTGATTAAGTGTTTTAATTTCTTAAGCATAGTAAAAGCAATATAAATTAGCACTCCCACACTTAATTGGTTTAATAATTTTATTGATAAATTAAAGAGATATTAAATTTATAATAACAAAATAAAGTTCAATGCAATCATAAAATCAACTTCAACAATAATAATAGTCTCGCTAGTCTAATCGGCAATTGCCTCAAAACCCACCTGCCCCTGTATAGTAAACTCAGTAGAACTAGCAAGATGATCAAATCAATACCATTGTTGAAGAGAAGATAGTCAAGTCTAGTGGTGAGACTATAGTTAAAAGGTACTTGAAAGGAAAGTTTCTTGGAAAGGTAAGTCAGATAATCATCCTTACAAAACCTTTAAACTATATTTAGGGAGGATTTGCCAAGTGTTATGATTTCACCAGTCTTGAAACTAAAAAGGTCTTAGCTGCTAAGATAGTACCCAAGGCTTCACTTACTAAGAGCAGAGCTAAGTAAAAGGTAAGTAGAGATATTACTACTTTACTCAGACTCTACGAATAAACTTATCTTCCCAGAATTGATATCAATTTATTTTAGTTAATGAGTGAGATCAGAATCCACAGATCGCTGCATCATACGAATATTGTTGGGTTTGAACATTTTTTCGAAGATCAAGTTAATGTCTACATATTGCTGGAACTCTGTCATAATCAAACATTGAATGAAATGGTAAAAAGGCGAAAAAGACTAACAGAAATAGAGGCATAGTGCTATGCTGTTTAAATAATCTCAGCTCTTAAGTATTTACATGGCCATCGAGTCATTCACAGAGATCTGAAACTAGGAAATCTATTTTTAACTGATAAAATGCAGATCAAAATTGGGGACTTTGGACTTGCATCAAAGCTAGACTTTGAGGGAGAGAAAAAGCGTACAGTATGTGGAACTCCAAACTATATAGCCCCTGAGATATTAGAAGGAAAAACTGGCCATTCCTATGAAGTTGATGTCTGGTCTTTTGGTGTTATTCTTTACACTTTGATTATTGGAAAGCCGCCTTTTGAAACTTCCGATGTTAAAACTACCTATAGAAGAATAAGAATGAATGCTTATTCTTTCCCTGATCATGTGCCGATATCTGAAGAGGCTAAAGCCTTGATTCAGCTTATTCTGAACCTAGATCCAACTAAGAGACCTTCATTAGATGAAATCTTAGACCATAATTTCTTTCACATGGGCAACACCATACCACGACTTATGCCTGCTTCAACTCTGGCATGCCCACCTTCAGCTGCATTATTAAAGCAATATATCGGTACTGGTGTCAATCTTGCAGAGTAAAACCTACAAAAGCCCTAGGGGAGATTCGAATCGACAGCACCTATTTAAGCTCATGGATAGAGGAATGCCGATTTAGCACTCTAATCAAACGGGTTTAATGCCACAGAGAAATTAAAATCAAGTAAGTAGCTAAACTTTCAGATTTATTACTATGCTTATTATGTTTCAATAGCTTACTATTTTATTTAGCTGATGGTAAAGTAATAAGTAATCAGAACAATAAAGCATAGATAAAAGCCAATTAGAAAAATGGGCCAGATGTCTGGGTAAAGAAATGGGTTGATTATTCTTCTAAATATGGGCTTGGCTATCTACTATCAAACAATGCTACTGGAGTATATTATAATGATTCGACGAAGATTATATTGGATGCTAAGGGGAATTAGTTTGACTACCTTGAACGCAAATCAGCTGATAAGTAGGATACAATGACCACGCATAGTCTGGCTACTTATCCAAAAGAGCTTCAAAAGAAAGTCACACTTCTTTAGCATTTCAGAAGTTACTTAGAAGGCAATCCTAGTAAATTAGACAATGATGAAGCTAGTAACAACAATATCAGTATACCTTAGAGTGGTGCTCCTATTTACGTTAAAAAGTGGATGAGAACTAAGCACGCTATCATGTTCAGGCTTTCAAACAAGATTGTTTAAGTTAACTTTTAAGATCACACTGAGATTATTCTATGCTCTGAAAGTAGAATGGTCACATATGTCAATAAAAAGGGAGAGAGGTAGACGTTTTCTCTTTAGAGTGCCTTAGAATCTTCTAATCAGGAAATGACTAAGAGACTGAAGTATACTAAGGATATATTAACGCATATGCTTTCAGCAAATCAAGCGAATGTTAAATCACCTCTAGGCATTGTCCAAGGCAACATGGGAGCGACACAGAGCAAAATGATGAGCACCATCTCATCCTAAATGAGTAAGAATCTCCTTGTCATGTTAATTTATTTAATTTAGATCATTAATGACAATTTTCAACTAAGGATAGTAAAATAATTGCTATAATAATAGGAACTCTGAATCAAATTTTGTAAATGAAACATGTAGAATATAATATTTTATCAAGTAAAAACCAATACATAAATCTTATCATTTGGGGTTTTGGGGTTTTGGGGTTTTGGGG